ACAGGGCACTGTATTAATTTGTGTGTCAGAAGGCGGGTATGAAAATGTATACATTCTTCCTCCTTAATGTCTCACATCAACCCGCCCCCCAAATACTGTGAAACTGTTCGATCAAATTTACATGAAAGTTCTTATATAAAGTAGTGGGGTGTGTGCGTGTGTACATTGTGTGGAAAGTAAGTTCAAATGTGGTATTTTGGATAAATAGTCCAAGTCCAGACCTTCTTTATTATTGAGCGCAAAGAGACTTAGCATAATATGAAATGCTTCGGCTGCTCACCTCTCTTTATGGTTGGAAAAGCCTTTCCAAATTATTTTGATATTTTTAATATCAATTTGGTAATTATTGAAAATAGCATGTATTGCTATTACTGATTTAATCTGTAAACTTCCCTATTCTACAGGATTGTTAAGTTTTTTTGTGTAACTTAAGTGTTTCTTGGCACGAGTCGAGATCTCACAGGAAGACTTTCCAATATAGAACGCATCACAATCTGCTAAACCTAATATGTAGACACAATTTTGTGTGGAAGTAAACGGGATCGTATCTTTTATTCTAACTAAAGCGTTTCTTAGAGTGCTAATTGACTTATAGAAAGCTTTAATTTTGTACGTCATCAATATCCGTAGTAATTCTTCTGTCGCAACTTGTACTATTTAAACTTGTTTTAATTTAATTCGGTTATTTATTTACTCTGAAAAAGTGGCTTACGTTAAGTCATGAAATGTCGAAAATATAACTTTTCTACTCATTGAGATATAACAAAAAAATATTTTTATAATCAGAGAGGGCTTTTGTGGATATTTTAGTAATTTTATACTTGAATTCATGAGTCAGTTGAAACTAGACAACCATGAAAAACCTGAAATCACTGGGCGGCCGATTTGTCCTAGTATGGGACTCCTCAGCAGTGCGCATTAAATATATTTATTATAGAAACTATGTGTTTTTGTGTAACTATATTGAAAATAACAACTTTGTTATATGTATCCCAAAACATGATCTAAAACAGTTACTTTGACCATGCACTCTCAATGTGCTATTCGGATTCAGTAATGATTTCTATAGACGAACTTATGTAGTTGCGATGGGTTCACCACTGGACTCCTTCTTGGCTGATTGTTTCATGGCCAATCTGGAAAATACGTCACTTCGACCAGTAATTGAAAGATTTCATTTATACAAGAGACACATGGATGATACTTTCGTTATTTGTGTAGAGGAAATAAATCTCAATGAAATATTGGATCGATTCAATAGTTGTCATCACTCAACTCAATTCACGTTGGACGAAGAGTCAAGCGAGGTGTTTCATTTCCTCGATGTTCAGTTGAAAATAAAGTCAGATGGTTCTTTACAAAGATCTATATATAAAAACCCGGCCTTGAATGGTCAGTATACGAATTTCCATATATGGGTCCTATTGAATGGAAAGAGAAACATAGTTCGTTCTTTATCCCTAAGGACTAGGCAAATATGTTCTAATGACGCAGTAGAAGACGAACTACTACAACTTCGACAGATACTCATCAGAAATGGTTATCCGCTTAGATTTGTCGGCAAAATCTTAACACCAAGACAACATTCTGAAAACACACAGACAATTCATAAGAAGATTCTTTTATGAGATACAGCTGCCGAACTCTTGAATGAACGAACTTACGAATCCCTTATTAAAACCTATTCAGCTAGGGTTAATATTGTGTTCTCGGGCCGGTCAATCATACACGGATGTGTCAAAGATAAGCTTCCGCTTTGGGCCACATAGATGTGTATTAATTAATTTGCTTGCTTCTCTGAGTTAAATTACATTAGCCGCACGAAGTAATCACTTCCTAAACGCGTTTCAAAACATTATTGTTACGATTTTTAATCAGGAGAATGCAAAATAGCCATCAGTTCAATACAGTAGCACTTAATAGCCTGTTAACACATCGTTCCAAAAGAGTCTTCCTTCAAAATAATCCACTCAATCGAAGGAGCTGGGTTGAAAGGAGGCCGAATAAAAAAATGTATGCAATACTGAGGCGTTGGTGATCCACAAGCTCCACCCCAACTCTGCGAACAAAAAAGGTACATCCAAACTCTCATTTTTTCATTGGAACTAATTGCCTTATGTAGTATGCTTCGGTCTCGTTTCTTTTTATAATTTTGTTTTGTAATTTTAGACTGTAATCAGTTATTATTATCCTTTAACAATTTTTCGTGATTGTTATTCAGTGGACAGTTATCTTCCATAATTCTTACTTGTAATCTATTTTCTTCCCTTTGTTCTTCTCTAACCCATTGACTATTGAGCGACCTCATTTGATATTTGAAATGTTGGGTCACTTTATGATGCAATTTTTTATGTCTTTCTATAGACATATATTTACCATATGACTATAAATACGAATGTACAGTTTAAGTGGACGATTTCGCCGAAACGAAAATTCTCTTCACTGGGTTCGCTTTTTCTCTGTACTCAAATGTAGTTTCAAATCAATATTTGTGTGAGAAACCAAACCAATAAACTGAACTCAATATCTGCTCAAATAGAATTTAGCGTGACATTATGCTTACAAACTATTGGACTAATCAAAAATTAAGAATATTTGAGCGAACAATTGTTTTGATTAACTTCACGATCAGGCTCTACAGTTATATGTCCATAATTATTGTGAGATTTTGCAAGGCCAAAATAAGTCATGCATTAATTAATTTGAGAATGTTATATGTTAAAAATGATGAACGTTTGCATCTGTTACGACATATATACTTCAAAAATTGTGTTATTTACAAATTAGAAAGGTCATTTAGTAGAGGTCAGAATGATTAGTAGTAGTGTCCAGTCCCAATCAGTATAATAGTAATATAGCAAAAATGAGAATTTAATAGTTGAGTTCATGAGTCGACTGAAACCAGACCACCATGGAAAATCTGGAAACACTAGACGGCTGTTTCGCCCTATTATGGGACGCCTCAGCAGCGCGCATGCACTATCCTGCTAGCGGGACTCAGGACGGGGACCTTCGGGATGCGCACATCCGAAAAGTTCCATACTAGGATGAAACAGCCATCCAGTGCCTCCAGGTTTTCCATGGTGAACTTGCTTCAACTGACTCATGAACTCAACTATTAAATTACTAAGATCTCCACCAAAACCCCTTCTGATAAAAATGAAAATGCAAAACAATCGCGTGAATAAAATGTATAGTAGGAGGATTTAATCTTGTCAGTTGAGATAATAATGATGATAGCAACTATTATTATTATTATTATTATTATTATTATTATTATTATTATTATTATTATTATTATTATTATTATTATTATTATTATATTGTTGTGTGAATATAATGTGTGGTAAGAGGGGTGTTATCACGGTAATTACAATATACAAATAAGGAATTTATGTGAATTGAGTATGATAGATGCGAGGATTAAGATAGATGTAATCAAAAATAATGGGAAGGGGTTAAGAATTTCGTGCACTGACTTGACACTTTACCACAAATCATTCTGACCTCTACTAAATGACCTTTCTAATTTGTAAATAACACAATTTTTGAAGTATATATGTCGTAACAGATGCAAACGTTCATCATTTTTAACATATAACATTCTCAAATTAATTAATGCATGACTTATTTTGGCCTTGCAAAATCTCACAATAATTATGGACATATAACTGTAGAGCCTGATCGTGAAGTTAATCAAAACAATTGTTCGCTCAAATATTCTTAATTTTTTAAACATCCTATGGGGATTTTTAAACTATTGGACTAACGTTCATCTTTGTTTTGGCCAAAATCTAACCGCAATTGGTCCGACTCGGCTGTCACGGAAAAACATTACTAACTGTTCTTTTTAAAACATAAATCAGTTTCTGTGCCCTTGATACATATAGCTTTAGGAAATTTTAGAATAATACAGCTACTATGCTTATCAGTCAACCTGAAACATCTAAATTACGTTGTTATAACCCTTGATTTCTTTAAAAAGTAGACATTTTGGGACGTAACTAGGAAACTTAATCAAGACATTCTTTTTTGTCTTGAGTATATAATATCTGTTGTAGATATACATCAAGTGAAGTAGATAATTGGGTTTAAACTGTGAAGAGTACGAGTCAACATCTGGCTGAGTATAAGATTTTGAGTTTGTATGCAACGAGCGTTCTGGGTTCCTAATGTTTATTTTCTTGTTTATTGTTCATGAAAATCATAACTTCGGAAGATGAAGGAAATCACGATCGGTTTTCTTCTGACTGTTATATATTAGTTTCTGGTCTGAAGTTTTCCTGTGTTTTTGGAGTATTACAACAGAGTCATTTTCAAAGTAATGGAAGCTGGATATATACATAACTGTCGACTGAATCATTCCCAATCACCAGTGTTATGCAATATTACGTCAACTTCCAATACAAATAAGATTGTAAGAAGCTGAATAAAATTCATGATATTTATGGTATAGCTATCTTTAGACCATCGATCAAATTGCAATTAGGCAACCAGTCATAGTAACGGGACGTTGAGCTGTACTGTGTTTGATTTTAAATGTTTAAAGATAATCTGAAGTGTTTTCAACCAACAGTTTGATTCTATTGATCTGTGTGTATTTTCTGATGTCGACTTCTAGAATGTGACAGGACAAACCTCTGAGAAAACCAAACGTTTGTAACAGTTGTTTCATCAGAATTAATTTAAGTATTTTAGTAATATCCTTCTAACAATTAATTTAAAATACGGATGTGTCAATACCAACATATAGAAACGAGGAATACTTGGAGGTTTCCCGTCTGCGATTAAACGAAGGAAACGTAATTGAACGTGTTCTAGATTTTATTCATAGTTCGAGAGAAACAGGTTATGAATATCGATAAATTGCTAATAATTAATTGGTCTGTTAAGGCAATATTACTATTGGTTGATAGTTTCTGTTATTATACATATTTTGGTTACTATACTTTAATTTCCTTCCCGTTTAATTATTGATTCAACAGTTGATTGGTCATTTAATTTCAATATATTTATTGGAATGAAGCCACACTTTCATGTCTGACCTTGTATCCTACTACAGTTTCACGTTGGTGGATCTACCATACTTCAGCAATGAGTCAAACATGTGAATGGAAAAATGAGGTTATAAAGAAGCAGGCCCAAAAAGAACGAGAGAAAGACGTGGAAAAACGATGGGCAGACGTGATGTCTAAGAACGGTGAGGGAGCTCCTGAATGGTTAAAAGAAGCTGCTATGAAGAAAAAGCAGAAACAAAGTTTGAAACAGAAAGATGAGAATTTAGCTCCATGGCTAAAAGAAGTTCAGAAGAAGAATGCCGGCTTAGCAAGAAGGATATCCGATGCCACAAATTGTGAAATTGAAAGTAATCTGGGCTGAAATACGGATTTGGTGCGTTTTTCTCTTTATTACGATAGTTTGATTTGTTTTTGAACGAACGGTAAATTAAATTGTTCAATATCATGTGAATTCCACACAGAGATTAACTATACTACAAACATACATATACGTTTATTATCATGATTCTTTTCCTTGTATATTATTATTTGCGCTTTATTTAATAACCTGATTTGTGGAAATCCAGAATATTTTCCTAACACGTGACTTTCATTTCTTGAGTTTACCATACACTGAACATGTAAGCCCAAATCTTCATAAATATCCAATTGAGTTTTTCAGTTCTTACCAATTTATCTTCACAGTTGAAATTACGAGTCAATCTAAGCTAAACCATCATTGGAAATCTAGAAGCACTGGACGACCGTCTCGTCTTATTATGGGACTTGGAACCAGGTCATTCGACCTATCGTGCGGATACTCAAATTCTAGACAACGACTAGCGTCCAACGGTGTTAGTGTCTAACTTCAGTAAATCATAATCTTGCGCAACCCTTCGTCGATTCGCTGTGGTGGTCATGGCTTCTCACCAGAACTCTACGACTTACATCTAGCCGGTTACTAGTAAGGGGGAGATTGCTATCAGTATAGGGCATTTGTGGAGATTGTAGTATTTCCACACTTGGATTCCACATGTGAGATTTTGGACACTCACTGTTGAGGAGTTCTTTACTAAGACGAGACGGCCATCCAGTGATTCCAGGTTTTCAATAATGGTCTAGCTTAGATCGACTCGTGATTTCAACTGTTAAATTATTAAAATCTCCACAAACTGCTCATACTGATAACTTACCAATTTATATCTGCATATAAAATAGTATTGACTAAGGTTTTTCCTCGGTCATTGTTTCAACCCTGTCCATACATTTTTTGGTGTCAATAGCATGTATATTTACCTACCTCCGAATATTTAATTGATATCCAGACTAATTCCTGAGCATGATCGTAAAATCTTTTGATGACTAATGCAGGTTTTAAGTGCAGTTTATATATGTCTAAAGACACTTGATATAAGTTAGTGTGATAATTAGAAGTATTTGAATTATAGTACGTACTAGGAATCCCTGAAATAACTTAATTTAAATGAAGCGGAACTAGGTGAGCACATACGAACGTATTGTATTTGAAATTCGAAATCAGTCATAAATCAAGTGCAAAGGAATCATTAATTCACACATACATCAGTTATTCTCTGTAGATCATATCAAGAAATATAATCTAGAAACAAAGTCGACGTACAATACATCAGAATATTTCACTTAAGTGACTTTATGGTAATCGTGTTTCCAATGATATATGTATATTGGTATACTTAAGAGGAATAATTTAACAATAAATAGTTTGTTGCACTACCTATGGCGTGAAGTTCCCTAAAGTGTTTTATTGCCAAGTCTTCAGCCCTACATTACTGACCAATTGGTGTAAGAAGTTCAATAATTTCAAGCTGTTTTACTTATCGTTGAGACACATCATGTATGGGATGCTACTCGGCTACATAAACAAGTAAAAAAAGTAGTTATAACCATAAACATTAGTCGAAAGTCGTTTGGAGCGAATGGTACTGGGTTCGAGTCCCAGAAAGAACATTAACTCTGAGATGCAGGTACATCCAGCTGACGAGTTCCAAATAGGATTCCACTGCTATCCACTATATATATTTGCTTATAAAGCTTGTGACTTCAAGCAGTATCAAGGCAGTCCGCATAGGATGCACATTTGCTAACAAGAGACTGATCAATTGCAGTCCTAAATAACAATAGGAAGATGCAAGTGAATAGCTCTATACCCAGATTACATATCTTTCGCAAATTTAGCCTTAGAATGTTCTTTTATCTTCGTTCTCATGTTTTTTCATCTTCATTTACTTATGTTGACTGGATAACAAAATATTCATTTCAGGTGTATTTTCTAGCGTAATCACATTTTTAAATTCAAACCAATTACTTATATTTTAAATATATGTGTTTTTGACTGCCCTGTAGGACCACATCTGTTTTATGTAACGCGGATTTTAGGTAACAAACGTAGTAAGGTTTGTCTTACCTTATTCAAGCTATTCCCATAATACTACTGAGCTGTATTGTATATGACGTTAGTTAAACCAACACAATACAGTTCTTGAGAAGATACTTAGTTTATGTAGATGCTTAATTAGTATTACTTTCACTTAACTACATGGTTAAATCGAGAAACTTAAATTAATGTCCTGACCAGGATCATCAGTGTTTATTTCTTGTAGGTGAGTTTTTGGATATTATTCCATAATTGCCTAATTAGCTCTTTCTGACTACTTTTATCGTGATTGGTTGTCTTCCTGGGTTTTATTATATTAATTGATCTTTGTATTCCATCTGACTATTTTGTAAGTGACAATTTTGTCCAGAAAGTTTCATTAAAATTCCTTTTTCTCGCTTGTACATCTGACCATTAAATTGGGAATGTGTTGTACTGTATAAATCTATTAACGCTACTAAACTTGACCCCTACTATTTTGTGTACTGAGAATAATTGGTCCTTGTTTTGCAATTCCAATGCATCTTTGGTAAGATTTGCTCGTATTAAAGTAAACAGGTCCGTGATATCGATTATTCACAAGTTACACTCCATTTTATTATGTCTGGGGTTCAAATGTGTAATTGATTCAAACAAACTTCGGGAAAACTGTTGTAATCTATTAATAAATAAAAGGATGGATAGTGGTACCACTCGTCAAAAGTTCCGAACGATAATTAGTTTCATATTTATCTGTTTATAAAATATGCGCAGCGATTTGATATTCAAATTTAATGTCAATAAATATATGTGGCTGTCTTTACTTGTAATAGTAGTTGTTTAATTCGATTTACATCCAAATCACATAGATCGTGTGATAATACACATGACTGTTATTATTAAGGTCACATTCATACATGTTCAGTAGTCAACATATCGATGTATATTAAGTTGATACATTAGAATTTACTAGCATGCATCGAAATGCAAGTCAATTCTGATAAGAATATGGATCTGGTATTTTATGTTATGATTCATTCATGCTGATTAACTGGACAGTTAATAGCTTGATAGTCCTATAATCTGAATTAAGTTTCGACTACATTTATGCTGTCTCAACATACACTTACTGCAATTTCACATAGTTTATATAAGTGTCACTTTTTTAGATACAAAACGATCTCGTTTTCTGGTCAGTTGCTTAGTCTTTTGACATCTGTTCATTGGGTAGCGGTTTGTGTTTGTAATCCAGTTTTTCTGATTAATTGTCACCCGGACACTACTCACGTCAATTCAGGAGACTGATCTTAATCCGGTCCGATGTAACAGTGATATGATCTTATCAGTTCTGTCCTTCCGATTTCCATTCTTAAATAGCCCCAGATGACATTCAAACAATCGCGTATTCTCATACACAACATTTCAGACTACCACTGGCTAATGATTGATGTCGATCTGAAGTCATTTAGTAGGAACTATCGACCTTAAGATCTGATTAACGGTCACTATATCTTAGACTGAATTTTCTGGTTACATCGTGATGATTATGGTGGAGTGTCGTTCTCTGAACTGGGTAGTTTAATCGAGTAGCTTTCATTGTTGGGAAGAACAGCTAAGCCGTCCAGCCACAAATCTTCACTTTGTAATTAACTGATATTGGTGATTTTCTGATAATACGAATGATTTTTCTATTCTCAATTGTGCCTTTTTTTCTTCCATAACATTTAGTAAACCATCACTTAAATAAGCAATTTTTACCTAACGCTTTATAATTTCGATTTGTTATCTTAACGTAATATTTTCATTTTACAGCAGTTAATCATTATTTTTGTTATTTTAATGAGGAAACAGTTGTAATGCAATATGTAACATGGTCCCACATTACAGTCCGAACAATCACACTCGTCATTATCAAACTAATATGTTGATATTTGACAATAATTCAGTATGTCTGTGTTTTGTCTCCCTACGCATTATGGCCTTTATTCTTCTCTAGCTCTACTAAGTACTTTAAAGATTTGTAATCATCTAGTGACCTCTCATAGTTTTGGATCAGACATGATAAAAAGTTTTATCACTAAGGCGGCTATCTAAAACAGATATATGCTGATTACCAGGCGAAAATTCATTTGACCTAAAGATGTTCGGTGTTATTATAACCTACAATTACACAGCACTTTGCTCTTTGTTAAACTCCATCCCAACTAACATAGAAGATGGGGTGGGATGGTACTTGATAGTGAGTAATCAGGTAAAAAAAGATATCATTATTATTGATCACGTTGACGGAAGACTAATGGTGGTTAGAATATATTCAAATAGCAGGTATGAAATATTTAGACATATAATCTATGTAAAAATAGAACAATTCGATAAATATTCATTATATTCCCTTCATTATTAATCCACTTATTTGAGATATGTGGAGTATGTGACGATGATCGAGATCCGTGAAATCCACTTAGTCTTCGTATTTTAATAAAACATCAGAAATGAATATAACAGAACTAATGTACTTCAAAAGTTACACGTAAGGTAACCATCAAACTTGATCACCAATTCTTCGAAGAATAAATATGATTTCCAAGTTAATGCAGTTTTACAAAGTAAAAGGAGCAGCAGTAACTGAAATGAACAATGGAAATAACATTTTATTCTTTACTGAACTCGGATTAGAATTCAGAGATTTCAACTTAAAGTGTGTCCTATTTTCTTAACTTGTTATATTCTCAACAAAATATGAATAATAATTCCTTTTCTGAATAAATAGTTTTAAATCCATGTAAATAGTGATTTCAAAGTCACCAAATTTTTTAGCTTGTAAGTACAAACAGTGCGTAAGCACTTAAGCGAGTCGTATTATGTAAATATGAATCCCTAACCTTTTTTCTAGTTATAAACCAAAATATTTAATAACTAGATTAAATTATAGTACATCAATGAACAATAAAGTCAGTTAATATGATGAATGTTTCATCTGCTCACTAGTGATTGGCTTCAAGAGATACTTCTGGAGTTGTAGTGAGAAGTCGTCACCAGTGGAGTTCAATCAGGTCTGTTGTGAGATATCAACTCACTTCAGGATTCCAAGTTAGGGCTTGCCTCGTGATGCAGTTTGACGATTTGCGTAATGTATGTCCTATCCATTTCCATCGTCTTTTCCTAATTTCTTCTTCAGCTGGAAGTTGGTTTGTTCTCTCCCACAGAAGGCTATTGCTGATGGTATCCGGCCAATGGATGTTGAGTATCTTGCGTAGACAGTTATTTATAAATACTTGTACTTTCTTGATTGTGGTTGTTATAGTTCTCCAAGTTTCAGCTCCATACAGTAGAACTGCCTTGACGTTCGTATTGAAGATTCTGACTTTGATATTGTTTGAAAGTTGTTTTGAGTTCCATATGTTCTTCAATTGTAGGAATGCGACCCTTGCTTTTCCGATCCTCGCCTTTACGTCTGCATCGGATCCTCTTTGTTCATCGATGATGCTTCCCAGGTATGTGAAGGACTCTACATCTTCCAGAGTTTCGCCATCAAGTGTGATTGGATTGCTGTTCTCCGCTTTGAATTTGAGGACCTTAGTTTTCCCTTTGTGTATGCTGAGGCCTACTGATTCAGAGACTGCTGCTACACTGGCTGTCTTTATCTGCATCTGTTCGTGTGTACATGATATGAGAGCTAGGTCATCTGCGAAGTCCAAATCGTCTAATTGATTCTGAGCTGTCCATTGTATTCCGTGTTTTCCTTCAGATGTTGAGGTCTTCATAATCCAGTCGACCACCAGAAGAAAGAGGAAGGGAGAGAGTAAACAGCCTTGTCTGACTCCGGTCCTTACTTGGAATGCATCTGTCAGCTGTCCTCCATGCACTACTTTGCACTGTAGTCCGTCGTATGAGTTCCGGATAATATTGACAATCTTCTCAGGAACTCCGTAGTGTCGAAGAAGTTTCCATAATGTCTTCCTATCTACACTGTCG